TCATTCTAGTCTTCCCCTCCTTATCTAAATTACTATATTCAATTTTATGACTACTAGTGTAACGACAGAAGACAAGGGCCAGGCAACAGATCGTTTATTCAGAAAATCAAGAGATATTTTCATATTTTTATGTGCATTATTATTAGCGTTATTGTTAACAGAGAAGCACAGTCTTCTGATTGGTTGTTTTCTTGCCAAAGGTTCTTCTGTACTACTTGTGACCATTTCTCAGAAAGTTAAGCCATATATCTGCGAATCATATTTGCACACATTAAGTCTGCTATGACTGGTTGGTGACTTCCTCAAGGTTAAGTTTTGTTATTGTTTTTTTTCCTCATGACCGCGATTCGGGATGTAAGATTGACGTAAATTTTTGTCTACAATTTTAGCTTGCAGACAGCTCTTACCACAATAGTGTTTCATTTAAAATAAGCAATTAAAAGAGGGATACAATTCTTATATCTTATAATTTTTGATGATACTATATCCTAGTCGTCGTAATCGAGGATAGTAAAAATTGCTACACAACGGACTCCCCCCTCCCCTTGTTGATGGAAAGTTTCACTAACAATTTTAATTTATCTACGTTTCAGAAATCTCGAAAGACAGTTCGTTATTTATATTCACGCTGATAAATTTTAACAAAATGCTGTTGATTTTGAAAAGCTCTGAATATTATAGGTTTCGATTAATCGAGATCTCTGGGTAACTGTTTGTTTCTCAGGTTATGCATTCATCTTTTCATAAAATATCCACATTAGCAATGAGTTTGGGTGTTCTTTCTTTTGCTATAAATGTTCTCCTTTCTAGAAGAGGCTTTGAAAGGACGGTATCATCTAAGTTGGATGGATGTTTATATGCTTTGAAGTATCGGAGTGATCCTTGTAGTGTCAACAGGTGCCTGTATCTACAATTATGCTTGAGAGAGAATTATCATTAGTTGAAAAGTGTTTGTAGATGAATTGTAATATGTCAGGATATAGTTTTTATACATAATAATAACTGAAGTCTACAAGTTGAAAATAACTGACTACTTGCATGCATATCTTACCACTGCTTTCTACTTGAGGTTATTGTGTTCACTGAAAACCTCACGGAACTTCACTTATGAGTTTCAACAGTCGATTTGAATGTGAAAAGCATCGCACCATTTTAAATCACCGCTTCTTGAAGTTTTAATGTGTTCCACAAGTTAACGTATTTTTTTTACTGATTTTGGTGAATTTGAAATGATAGTAGAAGAAACCGTAGAGACAGTAATTTCATGAAATAGCGAAGAAAGCGTTGAAAAATTTTATCAAATATTATCTATGTGAGTCAGATGAGTTTCAGAATTACTAACTTAATGATAAAATGGTGTGTGCTACTGACAAGATTTCATAAGTGGTATATTGCGCTCATGATGTTTTCTACAGGAATAGTGGACAGCCAACCAACGGATTAAGTTAGAAAGAAGAGAAATGAAAGATCTTTATGAGGAAGAATGTAGAAAGCATGAAAGGAAGGCAAAAGAAATACTGCGAAGAACATGTGCTATTGGAGAGTAAATATGTTAGGTTTCTCTATTTTGCCATAACTGTACATCATTCCATCCATTCAATTTACAATTTGAACACCGATTCATGATCTCAGATTTACACAGTTCACCACAGTTTCTTTTAGAAATCAAAATTATTCAGACCAAAATAATATGTGTGATCATTAATACCACTGATAAGTGGATACGAGTAGTACTTGCCAACTAAACTGAAGTGATCTGAACACTGGATGGGCGTGTCGATAATTTGGGACCATTCCTATCAGAGGCTGATCAGGTTTCACTCAGCTTAGAGAAGTGAATCAGTTGAAACTACTTTATATTTCGGTCAGTTATATGGGTGAACTAGTATTATGTGAAATCGAATTCTCAATTTGTAATTTTTAAGGATTCAAGTGGTTTGAATTGACTCGGTTCTCTGAGCTGAGTTAAACCAGATTCACAAAATGGTAGAGCGCTCGCTTAGCATGCGAGAGGTACTGGAATCGATGCCCAGGTACTCTAACTCACCTCGTCTCCACCCTCGAGGCGGTGACAAGCATTTGTGCGTCGGTGATATAGCAGTTAGGACTTTCGCCGACCATGCACATGGTCCGGGGTTCGAATCCCCGCCGACGCATACCTGATATCTATGGTCAGCCTACAAAATTTGAGCTACCGATATCACATGCTGAAAATTCATAATTGTACCAAAAACATGGTGTGGAATCAAGCTGTAATAAAAAAACACTACTGAGCAGAAGGGTCCCAAACTATCGAAACGGCCCTCCTGTGTTGACATCAGCTTGATTTGGCTGGCTGGCAAGCACTACTGGTTGATAATGAGTGGTATCCAACCATTCACGACAACGCCTGAAACAGGTTAGGTATGTGTATGTATATATATCCGTTCAGAACACGTAATCAAGTTAACTATGTACTTTACTGATGAGTATCAATACAAACGCGAAACTTGTGTAATTAAAAGTCTCCTTTTGTTTCACTTTCTATAGCTCATTGCATTCATTGAAACTGTATTCCTACTACCATTACCACTAGTAATGAGAAATTATAAAGAATTTACAGTAAACTTCATAAACTCTGTCAATATTCTTTCACTCTGTTTCCTTTCTCACCGGTTTATAAACTGAACAATAGGACAGGACAGAATAGAGTAGGAAAACAAACAGACAAACAGAACCTGGATACTTCTACCTAATTATTTCTTCTTCATGCTTGAATGTCCTTCTTTCAATAGAAGAAAACTAATTCCATTGGGAGAAGAACACATGATCCTTGATTTCCTGAGATTTCAATTTCTCTATTAGAAATGTTTCACTTTCCACCTGGCATATAGATCATAATAATCAAAATCATAATAAGGCAATTTAGATCCATCATTCAAATCGTATTGTTATCATTATCAACTGAATTAACATAAATGGTTGTTCTGATTGTTCTAAAATTTCTTATTCTTTTTGCTTAGAATTGTTTCAATACTTGTTACTATGGTTACCTCAATTTAAAGCTTTTATTTAAAAAAAAATAAAAAAAGAATGTAGGTTATTTAGTGAACTTAATATCATTTTCATTCATTCTTAGGAAAAAAATCTTAAATCAAAAGGAAAGAAATTATAAAAAGGGGACAAAAGAAGAAATGTACATGACACTAGAGAAAGAAAGTACTTTACATTTTCTTAAAGAGTTTTCTTCTAAGTTGTACACTCACTACTCCTAAAAGTGTAATGAGTAGTTTGAAAAATTAGTCGTAGTTTTCAAGACGATCACGTTCCTTCCCAGGTATGAACGTTGACGCTTACTGTGGAAGAATCCAAAACTGCGATGGAATCGATGTCTAATATCTCACAGTTTCTGCTTAATACTAACTTGAGATCAATTGAACCCCCAAGAAACTAAATAACACTCAAGAAAAGTGAGGTTAAGTGATGTGAATGTGTATTCCTTGTTGTACACACTTAACACTATGTATAGGGGTAGAAGAAAACTATTCATATTGTTCTAGTTCTGATGGTTTCAACACAGAAAAGTTGATTTTAGATGAAATAAAAAAACAGTTTTTTGAGCAGTGAAATATTTCATGAAGAATATCATACAACTAAAGAAATATCTGAACAAAGAAAAAAGAAACACTGGTGCAGAATAATCTGGATCCATTTTATTTCGTCGGTTCTCATCAGCTGTGTACAACCTGAATTTTTTGGTAAAAATAAAAAGTGTACAATCTTAAACAAACTTTCGTCCATTAGAAAGCATATTATCTGAGTGTCATAGTAAAATAAAGCGTTGCAATTTACAAGGTGTCTAAAGTGTTACGACATACATAAATATCTTGATAGAGAGAAGTTTCTTGGAAAAATTTATTAACAGTTGTGTTGTTGAGGTGGTAACAAAAGAAAATTAGCAATAGTTACGTAATTAAATAAGAGAAGATTGAAATTTCGGTGCACACGAGGTAAGATGAGAAGTTGATGATGTAATACACTAGGCAGAACTCAGAAGATCAAGAAAAATTATCTCTTAAGAGAGTTAAGCGAAAAATAAAGGGGGTGGGGTGGATTGAAAAGATAAGTTAACAAAATTAGAATATAAAGAGTTACTTAGAAGTGAGTCACCGGGGTAAGTGAAGTCCAACAACGGATTCTTTTTGGACACATAAGTCAGGCTTCAATCGCTTTTTTGCTATAGCTTCAGCAAACCTGAGAAGACTTTAGGTACTTCGTCTGTTAATTATTTTGAATGATTTCAGCACATCTACTCGGTGTCCTGTGTCAATCAGGTGTTTGGTGATTAAAGAGCCTAAACAATTCAGTCCCTTTAACCGGAGGCTCCTTCGTACATGTTCGCAGAATCTGACGTAGGCCCTCCTCTCTGTTATGGCATTTTTTCTTCTTAGTTAGAAGCAGTCCACGCTCAAAAACTTGAACGTAATAGATTACAGCTGTCCGTACTCCCAGGTTTTCCAGAGGTTCTCCAACCGATGTCAGCTCATGATGTAATCATGTAGCCAATCAGTCAAATCCCTACAAACGAATACTTGAAGATATCTGTGTTCTTATTAGATGGTTGGAGGTAATCCACAGGAAGCCTCATTCGACCTAGGTCTCGTGGTTGTTGGCACTCATCAGCAAGGTGTATCTGCCATCTTGAATCAAGTCATGTTCCACTGAGATTAGAACACGTGTCACCCAGTGTTTCAGTCACATAATTCAGTTTTTGTACCAAACAAAGGAATAGATGCATGATTGTAGTTGATAACTAGTGGCCAATCCAAGAATGCAATTTATCCACGACAAGAAAACCGTCCAAAGACTGAAATTGTTCAGCATCAACTATGGAGCTACTAATAACAGTATTGTGTTAACTTACATCTCTAAAAAAAATCTTTGTAGAACTTTTATTTTCATTATATATGTTTTGGTATCGTAATCATACAAAATTTTCGGTTGCAATTCATCTTCAATAGGTCTCTTGTAGAAAGTCTTAAGATAAGTTGAACTTTTGCTTGTATACTTTCCCGTTAAGTTCATCTATTTGCTTTATATTTATTATTTATTTTATTTTATCCTTTAATATTTGCTTCATAAATCAGCATAAAATAAGATGGCTGGACTATATTTCACATAAACTAAGCTACTTGAATTTAATCAGTGGAGACTGACTAGCAGTGGAAACACAATATGTACGCTTCGTCTCATTTGAGACTCATCATCTAGATGTACACCTGCATTCTCCAATGAGTGATGGTGTCCCCACCGAGGATCGAATCCAGTGCCCATAGTTACAAACGCCAAAGAATCATCCACTAGACCACTAGGGCCATGAGAGCCACCCTTGTGCAATGGGTCTTATTAATTATATAACTCAATATGATTTTCCCCGTTGATTGATTGGACCTAAGTGCTCAGTGGGAACACCACCACTCACTGGGGAACACATGTATATCCAGATGATGGGTTCCAAATTGAACGAAATCCGCTTTATCCTGAATTTTACTGCTAGTCACCATCCAAGATATATGACCAGACATCGCCAAAGCATCTTTACAAGGAGTTGACATGTTAACCTGAAACCGAGCACTTCTGTCCAATCAATCGACGGGAAAATCTAAACCCAGTTAAATACTCAACTTATTACACAAACTGAAAGACATTTATTCTTTAGTATCTGCAAAATGGTTTTATCAGTCTATACTTATCTATCTTTTCATATGAGAATTGTTTTGTCTTTATTTTCTTTTCTTGGTATTTCACCTTTGTTTAAATTTTCCCTCAAGGTTGTCTTAAAATAGAGTGACAATGACCTGTTAACTGAATATATTAAGTAATCTAGGTGGATAACACTTTTTGGTCATTCTGCTTTTGTTTTCCTTTTCCTTGAATGTGAACATCCAACCAAACTGAACCGTGGTATATATATATATATATATATATATATTAATATATATATATATATATATATTATTATCTAGCTAAGTCTGTATACTTAAGGGTTTAAAGTAAGGTCGATGAATATTGCTTACTCTGTAGGGCAGATATCTGAAGAATTTAAAACAATTAGTCCCTTTTATAAATTTGGATAGCGCTGTTAGAAGACGAAGATCTTCTGAAAATGTGATGTATTTGCGCTATATATTTCGAACAATCTGACCACACATTTACTTGTCAAGTCAATGTATATATAGAAAGGTTAAATTAAACAGAATTAAGAATAATTAACACAAACGTTTGGTAATCCAATCAAATAAGGATTACCAAGTTACGTTAAGAGTAATGATAAACTGTTTTCGAATACACAAGGGGGGCTTAAGTCTATGAATAGCTATAGCCTCAGCGTATTTCAGTAAACGCCCTTGACCGTTTTTATAGATAACCTTAAAGGCTGAGTTAACATCAATCTTATGGTTCATCTCGATTAGATGTTTAGCTATAGACGAAATTGGTAGTCTGACACCTGCATTTATTGGCTTGTCACAATTCATCTGTTTTTCTAATCATTTTGAGATATGCTCTCCCACCCTCACGTGCAAAGCGCGATTACTCCTCCCTATGTATGCATGTATGTCCACACACACACACGAAAATTGGTAAATTGTGTGGGATGTGATATAATCACTTGTGCACTTTTGAAGTTTTCAGTGGAGCATATTTTTAGCTTTTTCCACAATTACAAGCTGGGCTGCATACTAGGTTCTACGGATGATCGAATTCAACTTTTGTCTCAAAATCCTACCGTTTATTTCCCTGTTTTATGGTAATTTGATGAAAACATTTTTCTTAGTAGCGGTAGGGATTGTAGGTTTAGAGACTAGTTGACTTCTACACCTGTTCAAAAATTTTAAAGGATATCCGTTTTCAACAAGAGTATCCATCAATATTTCGTTTTCTTTGTCTATAACATCAGCTGTGCAGATACGTTGAATCCTCTTAAATAGACACTTCACCAAGCCTCTCTTATACTGTAATGGACAGAAACTGTGAAAATTAAGGTATTGCCCTGTCCAGGTAGGCTTTCTGTAAATAGACCGTCTTATTGAACCATCATCATCTTCTGAAGAAGACAACTGAGATGTATTATTGTATGTATTGTTTATAATTTAAAGTATACAAACAATAAAGTTTAAATTTCCAGGTGTATTACAAAGTTTGCATAAGGAGAAAAAAATTGATTTTCAAGAGTTACCTTGTATGAATTTGATTTGCTTCAAGCTTCACTAGTGACTGATTAGAAAACGAAGTTGCCTGGAGCACTAGTTAGAAGTCGTCACCAGTGAAGTCCAGCCGGTTGGGAGTGAGGATAATACTCACCGATGACGCTGATCGGTGGTTCTGTTAAAATCATAAATTGGTAGAGGTTGGAATTCACGAGTTGGCCAGTGAGTCAGATCCCAGCGTCTGAATAGTCTAGGAATTTGCTTTGTAACCAGAGGGTCCTGGGTTCGAATCCTGGCGATGAGTGCTTCCTAGTGAAAAGTCTCAAATTAGGCGGACGGAAGAGCTGTCCAGTACCTCCTACTGTTTTCGATGGTTCTCTAACTGGTATCAATCTGTGATCAAACTTCAAAAAAAGTTAATTAGAAACGACCGAAATAGTTTTTCAATTTGAAAGAGGCGTTTTTGAGATGGACTGATCAGTGTAAACCAGGTGTTCAATTATTGCACTCCTTACAGCATCACTATTTTCTTTTAGCAACCGTGCTGATTAGTGTTCTTGAATCCTCTTGGACAGGTGCACGTCAAACGACCGATATACCTGGCTTTACAGCAGCAGGTGAACTAATATATGCATATAGAAGTAGTCAGATGCGGGAACTTGTTCTTAAGGCTTCTGCAGATCAATGAGCGATTGGAGAACACTACTCGTAGCTTTGCTGCAAAGAATGTTCTTCTCAGAGATGATGTGATCCTTGTCCTGAGAATATCGCTTGCTAAATCTCCCTTGAAATTCAAGTTCATGTAGTGAAGTTTCATTCCTCCAAATTCTTAGTTTGTTATTTTTATCAATGAATCTTGGTTAATATTCCGCTGCAGTTCGTGGAGGGGGTGGGATACGTGATCTGATAGAACCAGCACAATTCATCCGTGAAATTGTACATTGTCTTTGATCACTATGATGAAACACTCTCGATAAACAACCGACCTTACTTGTATCATGATTTTGAAAAACGAGAATCCATAAGTTTATTTTAATTGAACAGTAGTTAGTAACTAGTGTAATGTATCTAGTACTTTGTTTAGTGAAGACTGAATTCTACGGTTAGCCATGTTTGGATTGATGCGTCGGTGGCACAGTGGTTAGGACTCTCGCCGACCATGCATGTGGTCTGGGGTTCGATCCCCTGCCGATGCACACCTGATATTAGTCGTCGGCCTGCTAAATGTGGGCTACTGATATCACATGCTGAGAATTCCATACTCGTTTTTACGAGTTGATGACGGATTGATATTCGAAAATACTGTGTGGTGTTTCAAGCTGCAATCGAAAATAAAAAAATCTTTCCACCATGCCACTAGGCGGCTCGCCAACACTGTGCACTGAAAATTGTTGTTATTAGGTGGTTGGAAACAATCTGCTGGAAGATTTACTTGGCCATGGGTTTCATGCTTGTTGGCCCTCATCAGTCAACAAGGCGAATCGGAAATCTTGAAAGAACTCATGTCCTGTGTCACTCTTGCTGAAGAGTGCCAACAGACATGTGACCCAAGGTCAGATGAGGTTTCCTGCCGATTGTCTCTAACCATCCAATGACAACAAATCACAAGCTTTACTGGATAAGTCTTATCAATAACTGAAGAGTTCACTGGGTTTTTGAAACACCTGGAGTAGAAATGGCTAATATTTTCTTGGCGTAATCTTTCTGTGAGTTACACTAAGCAATCAAGCAAAAGGCGTTTTCTCTGTATGTTACAAGAAGCAATGAAGGTTTATAAATCTAGTCAAAATTCAATATTTTGTTAAACATTTTTCATAATGCATAAAAATATTTCTAAATAGCTTATACACTAAAATCACTTACATTTCAGATTCATGCTAATTGTCGACTACGTCGAGTATATTTTTGTGATCGTATCTATTCAGAAGATGAGCTACCCAAAGACTATAAACTCTATCTTCCTATACATCCTACATCAGCTAGACGGACTCCTCCTCTACGTCCTACTTCAAATCATCGTCAACGATTGACAAATTCACGTAGTACAACTTCGTTAAATCGTTGAACAAGACGAAGAGAAATAATGCCTTTTTGCTTCATCTATTTACATACACAGATTAACTGTATTCTTTTGCTCATAATATCAATAAAATGGCGTGTGTTTTCTTGTTTTGTTGTTGACACAAGTAACAATGAAAATAATAATAATAATTCGAATGCAGATGGATGACCTACTTATTTGATATTTATTATTATTAATGTTATTTGTTTTTTAATGTCTTCTCACTTTATATATATATATATATATATATATATATATATACACTTTTCATCTCAAGAGTGTGTTGTTTTGTAGTTCAATGCATTTAAAATTGATCATGTTATTGTTTCATTAAAACAAAATATGTTCGCACATTTTGATTGATATATCTATACTATCCTCTAATTATTTTTCTAATTAAATCTAGTTTATAAATACACATATATACATATGCATAAACTCTTGTTATTCTGAACAAAAACAAATACTACCAAACACAAAGTTTATTATTATTATTATTAATATAAAACACAGTCAAGAATATCCTTTTCGATAATTTCCCCTTTGGTTCTACACTTATATACATTTCTTTAATATTATTATTATTATATCCTTTAATTCGTAGAGGAACATAGGGCTTCAGCCGTGCGTCTCCATTGCGTTCGGTTCTCTGCTAAATTTTTCACCTGGCTCCAAGTCTGCCCACACGCTTCCATCTCCTCCTCGCATAACCTCCTCCAAGTCACCCTCGCACTGACGAACAACTCACCGCTTCCCTTTCGGGTTCCACTCGAGCGATGGCTTGTCTAGTGATGTCACTCACTTGATGGTTTCCTCAGTGTATGGCCAATCCATCTCCATTTCTATCTGCATATTTGTTTCACAATCGGTTTCTGCTGGGTTGGTTCGCTCATTGCCAGAGATCCCTGTTGATGATCTTTTCTGGCCATCTGATCTTGAGTAGTATTGAGCGAAGATAACTGTTAATAAAGGTCTGTAGTTTGTTTGAGATGCTATTTATGACGCGCTGGCCAAGTCTCTGATCCGTACAGTGAGTAGCACTGACTTCATATTTGATAGGATCCCACATATTTTGGTAGTGACTGCTAATTTTGTATATCATCATTCTCACGCATTTTGGTAGTGACTGCTAATTTTGTATATATGGTATATAATCATTCCCACGCATTTTGTTACTGACTGTCAACCTTGCACATATGGTGTATTATCATCTCTCACGCACTTTGTTATTGGCTATTAAGATAAATTATTTCAAATGCTGTTAGCTGTCCATATTGTTGTAAAATGTATAAATACCATGGCTTTCTTTATCGTTGTTGCACTTCAATACACAGTCACAGTCCAGCCTTTGTCTTTTGATATTTGCGTGCTTTACTAAGCCGGAAGGTCCGACGAGCAGATAGACAGATTAGTTCAGGCGCAGACAGAGCAAGATATAACAATATTGGAGTTGAAAATCCGGATCTTATTTTTGATGCTGACTGATGTTGACCTCCACACAGACTTAAGAGTAATGAAAGCTTGTCTTGCTTTCCCAATCCTTGCTTTGATATCATCGTCAGTTCCACGTGTAGTGGAGACGATGCTTCCCAGGTAGGTAGGTAGGTGGAGGGGGTTGCTTCTTTCAGATTCTTTCAGATTTATCCTGATTATTGTCTGTTGTTTTTGCTGTTGTTGTTGGCCAGGAATCTTCAT